AAATATTTCATTATTTTCCTTTTAGTTTTTCCACCCCCCGAAAATTTTTTTTCATAAAGTTTTGGTTTTTTTAAAAAAAAATTCCTATAAGAATTTATAAAAAAAATTTTCTTTTTTTTTAAACCCTTTAGAAATCCCCCCCTCACCCCCCCACCCCCCCCCCCCCCCCCTCCAACCCAACGGTTACTGCGGGCATTTGCTTAAAAACCCTCACTTTGAAAACAAGGGTAAGTACAAAACCTTTCTTGTGTTAATGAGTTCATTTGCTGAAGAATAAAAAAATCATTTTCATATCAATGACTTTGCACAATCTTGGCCTCACTTTGAAATAGCGGTTTAGGGTAACTCCGAAATGTCCTATTGGCCACCAAGTAAAGCCTCAAAAGCTGGCATTTAGCTTCAAATTTTGTACATGTAATGCAAGTAGATAAGAAGTCAATTTTATTTTATGCAGAGTCAAAGAGATTACAAAAGGATACTTTGCTGATCTCCGTGGTAAGCCAGAAAATTAGACATCATTTGGTTTATTTCAATTTAATGTGGTCCCACCATACTTTTATGACCTAAATAAACTACTTTCTTGTGAAATGTATTAGATTCAATGAGCTATATTTCTTTGTTAAGAATTTCGGAAGGATGGTGGCAAAAGATTCTTTGCTCTTGGAACACCCAGTGAACCTAAGGTAAGATGATTGACCATGGAAGTGATCATAATGAACTGGTGCTGTAACATACTTGACACTTTAGGCCCCAATATGCACATACAAATTCCCAGACTGATCTCTATACATTTTCTTAAAGACTTAGTTGAGAGAATTTAATAAAAGATCAAGAGAATGTGTTTCTATTTTGGGGGAGAATTTTTAGTAATTCTCGTCACCTTTTTACTTAATTGTGCAGTGATATTTTGGGGGAAAATTGATGTTGATCACTCTTGGGTCAACAAAAATGTAAAAATTAAGTTGGCTGCGTAGGTTGTTGACGTTTCTGTTTTCACTTTATTTTATTACAGGATTCATCTCCTTTTCCTGAACTTAAAGCTAGAAACTTAGCAAAGAAAGAAGTTGATTTGCAGAAAGTTTTTCATGGCAGGGTTACCTTGGTGTTGTTCTGGTTCCGAGCATTCGGTGAGGTATGGCTGATGTGCTATGAAATGCACTGTACTTCGTAATCAAGGTTTCCCATTACATTGTTATTTACAGTTTTGGCAGCAGTGGTGCATTAACCTAATCTATTTATATGGGCAAAGTAAAGAAATTGTCACTATTTTTCAAATAGAAGGTGTTGTCATGGCAACTTATATTACCGTAAAATTCCGAAAATAAGCCCCAGGGCTTATATTTTTCAAACGCCCTTTTTGAGGGGCTTATTTTTGGAAGGGCTTATATTCGGAGGGGCTTTTCTATGGAGGGAAATTTGCGCTTCAAAATCGATTGGGCTAGCCTTATAGTTGGAAGAAATTTACCATTTTTACTTTGTTTTATTTTGTATTTGAGGACAATTTTCCTTGTACAAGCCCCCGGGGGGCTTATATTTGGAGGGGCTATTTAACGGAGGGTTTTTTGCCTTATGAGTTTGGGGGGTTTATACAAGGAGGGGCTTATTTTCGAAATTTTACAGTAATTGGATAATACAAGTTGTTCTTCGCTAGAGATTTTTTCTGAATAAGGACATTTTTTTGATGACACACTATGATACATCAGGACTGCTTAACATGCAAACTGATCAGGGCTCAGTTCAAAGAAAATTGAGAAATGGATTAACCATAACACCAGATGAACACTATCCTGTTTCAAGATCTTTTTAGACATTTGGACATTTATCTCACAATAGGAAAATTGCACAATGATACATGTCATTTTACATCAACTACCAGAATCCGTCAGTTTGTTGTTTTCTTATGCAAATTAGAGGGATTGTTTTTTAAACCTCAGCAGGATTGGCAAATTTGACTAAACATTCCTTTATGTTTTCAGGCTATGTGTGATAAGTATAGACTTCCATTTGTGGACAAATTTCACGAAGAACCTCTCGCCCAACATTATGAGGTACTTGTTCATGTCTGAGTGACGAGTTTTATATTTTGACAGCAATGCAATAAAAAGAACATCAGGTCAAATTTTGGCTTGACTGGGATTCAAACCCAGGTGTAAATGAAGGCTCTAAGCTGGTGCAATATTTAATCCTGTGGGGCTTGTGTAAACTTGAATGTGCAGGAAGAATGATCAGCTATTACTTTTTGAGCATTTACTGCACAGAATGACAGTAATTTTATCAAAAGTACAATATAAGGTCAACTTTCATTATTGAGGATATCCTTAGGACAGTGATTTAGTGACTCACGAAATAGCGGAAGAAAAATGTCTGTAAATTACTTTTGCCTGGGATTCGGCTGCTATCACTATTATTTTTGTGTGTGCAATAATGAAGTGTCCATAAGGCGGGAGTTGATGGCGGTAGGTTGAAGAGACTGTCTGAAACTATAAAATCACAGATAAACAAAGAAATAGAGAGTTAGTGGTAGCACTTCCTCTTGGTGGTTCTTTGTGTACCTGATTCCTGGTCAAATTGGAATTTGGAATTTATGTTTTTTGACAAGAGGGGAAAACCGGAGTACATGGAGAAAAACCTCTCACAGCAAAGGATAGAACCCATGATAAAATCAACCCACTTATGGCATGGACACTGGGATTTGAACCCAGGCCACATTGGTGGGAGGTGAGTGCTCTCACTTCTGCCCCGCCTTTGCTCCCCACCTCTAGTATGAGGAAAAGCAAGACAAAGATTTTTCCCATGCTCAGATTTTTTTTATTTTTAATTGTTTGCAGATAAACGTCGTGGACGGACTGTTCTTCAAACCATTTAGTAGATTTCTTGAGAAAAATTTAAGGAAACAAAGAGCGTTAGAAAGACATGTAAGTTGACAGACGAGTGTGCATGAATTGAACGTGTATAATCTTCATAAACTTCTTTCAGAAGCGAAGAGCTGCGTTGTGGTTTACGTGGTGCTTCTTACTGCCACAAGGGGCACGGCGGCTTCGGTCATCTTGCAAGAAAATGATTTACTTGAAAACTGGGCGCAAATTTGCCTTAACATCACACTTCGCTAGTATACATAAAAGCTGAAACAGAAACTTGATTGCTTTGTAAATATCTGCATGTATAACGTTCAGTGTACGGCAAAAACGCGCTATGAACGCGATGAACCGCCATATGAAGCCCAAACAGTAATCATCATAGCGACCATGAAATTTAGATGCTATATGTTAAAAGATTCGTTTCGAGGATATGATGTTAAATGCGCATGGGCTATAAAGGATCTTTAAAATTGGTTGAAAGGTTTTGGTTTAAAATGGGCGGTTTCGGAGTGAATTTCGGGCGTTATTGAGTTATTAAACGATTGTTGTTATTTTGTATTTTTAGGATACCTTTCTTTGCTTTAGTGGTAACACAAAACCAATCAAAGAAAAATTTCTGGAGAACACAATTGTTGGACATGCATTGTTAGTGGATTGTAACGGGCTTGTTAGATGGAGAGCACACGCTAACCCTACAGATGAAGAAATCAAGTTTATGCTGAACTGTTCAAAAATACTCCTGAAAGATGCACAAAGGGCTCTTAAGAATAATAGGATAATGCCTGACCACAGATAATAAACACAAAACGCGTTTTATGCTAACAAATTGTGGTCTTTTATTTAATTTCTCCATCTGCCGTAAACTGATCATTGTTTTCTGAAATTAACAGTCGTGGGTTTGTCCGCTTGTTTTGTAGTTGTGGTTCTTTGGGTGTCCGCAAAACGTCATGTAAAGTAAAGAAGTATATCTTTTTACCATTCATCAAAGAAGATACCAGTCATCGAATGAGCGAGCAATTATCACTAATTAGAGTTTCATTCACGATTGCATTAAATGTGTTAAACATCCATAAGAGAGTTTGTTTCATTAGAGCCATCGGCCGCTAAAAGGAATAAGGAATTTGTGGAAATCTTGCATCAGTTCAAGGTTATATGCACACAAAAAAATAGTTTCATAGGTATCCTTTGGTTGTGTTTCACAGCGATAAGAAGGCGGGGCTGCCTAGTCAAAGCGCAAAGACTTGGTAACAAAGTAGAGGTATAAGGACGATCACGTGACTTGTCACACAAGAGGATGGAGATAAATTAGTTCCCACTTCCCACTGTCCTGGTTGCCTTTGATGACTTGTCCGAGGACCTGAAACTGTGACAAAAAGGACAAACGTTAATGATTAATTTAGGTTTCTGGGAAACTGCCCACCTACCCCTCCCTTACCTCAACGGTAACATTTGCGTCTCACTTAGGGCAAAATGTTGGGTTAGGGGAGGGGTAGGTGGACAGATTCCCAGAACCGAAAATTGATCCAACGTTAACATGATTCCACGCTTGGTGGATTGTGGGTTTTTCTTCGACGTCAATCAAACCGTTACCATAGCATCCAATCCTTGTTTCTCAAATAAAGGCGGTAATAGAGCTCTAACGAGAAGAAGCTGCAAAACTAAATGTTGGCGGGAACGTACCGATTCGTTTTTACCCTCCCATATCTGTGTTTCTTCTGGATTTGGAAGCTCTATAGGAACAATTTCGCAATGGTCTTCACCTTAGGAATCTAAACTTGCTTGTTTCATAAAGAAGGTTAAAAAAATTTGAAAGCAAAAATATGAAAAGTTTTCATCACATCATTGAACATCAAAGTACAAATAGTCCCGATCGACAAGACGCAGAACGCAAAAAACTTAGGCGCCGAGGCCGGCTCCAAATTTTTCTTGACGTCGCAGAAAAACCCAAAATTCAAAGACGCTTTTGACATTGCAGGTCGCGTGTTCAGATCCGAAACAGCTGTAATAATATATTAGTTTTTACTTACCTTGTACACAGTGCCCCTCTTCATTCATTTCGTATCCTCTAGTACATTGGCACTTTCCGTGATGGCAATCCGCGTGACTTGTACAATTGCAATTTTCTGAAATATTTGAGTGATATCATTCGCTCAGACAACATGCTAATTCCATAGTTTTTACTACTTTCTATTTTGTTTTGTAGTTGTTCCTGTTTTTTTCCTGTTTGACTACTGGGGTTGATTTTAAGGCAATACAGAGCAATGCAGACGTGCATGGTCGCTAGATACTCTTCTCTATGGTATTAATCCTTCAAGCTGTAGCCGCTATTGTCATAAAGAAATTTGCGTCGCTTTTTTAGCTCTTCTCTGGCGGTTACGACTGGGGGACGATATAATCTTTAATGTTTTCCAAATTTAAAATCAGGATTGTAGTTAAACCGAATCCAGGAGACAAACCGTCGTTCATTCCGATTTCGTCTTTCTTATTTTGCTGAAAATTAGTCACTTTTACTGAACTCTTTTCCAAGTTTCTACTCTCTTTACACTCCGTGGGAACGAGGTTGACACCACATAGCGTCGGACCACATACCGACGCAATGCTGGACCACATACCGGCGCAATGCCCCCCCCCCCCCCCCCCCCCCCACTTTGCCTCGGCTTCTGTTGTCTACTCCCGCGCAGGGGGTGGGGCGGCCTACACAGCGCGACGACGTAACCACCGCAGCAATACGCCGCCCCGCTCCCCGTCCCCCGCCCCCCCCCCCCCCCCCCCAACGACTCCTGAGGAAGCTGGCTACTGGCCTATTATTTTTTTCGCGCGTTTTTTCTAGCGAACGAAGTACGAAGCGGGCAGGGAGCGCTAGACACGCGCCACGAGTGGAGGCCCCTCGCTCGCGCGTTCTCGCGAGGCTCGCTTCGCTTGCCCAAACAGAAGAACTTGCTCGCAGGCTACACAGTGGGATACTTACCGACGCATTTGCCGGTCTTGCTTTTTTTAAATCCAGTTTTGCAAATGCAATCGTAGCTGCCTTCTGTGTTTTTACACTGGGAATTCGCCAGGCAAGTGTTGGAATGCTTGCATTCATCAATGTCTGTGTATAAAAAATTAACACATCCTAATCATAACATTTACGAGCGAAACTTTCAAATAGTCCAGTCATTTTGACGTAAAATGTAGGTTAACCTAGAACTAATTGTGACAGAAGATATTCCAACTGCTCTAGACTGAGAAAACTGTCCTTAATAACATATCAAAAGCCCCAAAAAGTCCCAGCAGGGAAGTTGCTTAAAGACGGGATTACTTGAGAGGATTGGAGACGTTTCCGAGTCCCTTATTTACATCACCGCATGGAAACGAGGCTTGTCTAAAGTCTTATTTCAACGCAAATGCTAAAGGCGCTTTTGATTGATTGGCAAAGAGAAACACAAAATGACTGGACTAAACCCCTGATCGAGGTTTCGATTTACGTAATTCTACGTCGACTCACTGAACGGCAACTTCCCGCAGCTTGTGTTCGACATTTTTGCCCAGTCATTTTCTTTCAGTAATCCCCGGAGGGGAAGGTGCTCAACAGAGTTTTACACGGATAGGCTCCGACCCGAGGTCTCAACCCTTACCCCTTACCGTTTTTTCCCCTTACCACTGATTATCCTACCCATCCGTATACTTCAACTCGTGAATTCCCTATCCTTTGATGCTGATCCAAAACCTGAAAAAGGTACCCCTTTCGTGGGGAGCCTCCCCGTCGTATAAGCCATTATAGTGAATGTCTCACCTTCACAAGTGTAGTTTAGACCGTGGACCATACGAAAGCCTTTATTGCAGACGCAGTCGTATGATTCATTTCCAGTTTTAGTACACGTAGTCTTATTTGGGCACAACAGTCCTTTCTTGAAACATTCGCTTATTTCTGTAGAATTAAAAAGAAATTCAGTTGAGTTTTACTTCATATTAACTCAACAAAATTTTAAAGGAACCAGGGGTATTCCTCTTCCATTTCATTCCATCTAGGTTTAATACCTGTCGAAGTTATCTATCACAGGAGCCCGCTATCATGAGTTTTTACCGCGTCCCATGCTAATTTCTGTATTTCTATCTCAGCTTTTCCCTTGTTTTTCCCGGGTTTTCCCCGCATACGACTTAACTCGCCCCTCCATCTAAACTCTTCGCCTACTATCTGAAATCCTGGAACAGGCAAAGCTTTTAGTTAATATAAAAGCGTGGCTGCAATCTCCTTAGTGGACAAAAATATATCTCAGTTTGGTCATTTTAGATCGCAGAGACAAATTTACTTGCTCAACAAACTAGAATTAACTCAGTGTAACTGTGAGGGAGAAGGTCTCGAACAAGCTAGAAGATCTATCCATTTTGTCATGGTTAATTATAACATACCTTCACATTTTCCTTCAGAAGACATTTTATAGCCCTTTAAACATTTGCAAACTGGAGTTTTAGGAAACAGAGGATCGACAACACAGATAGAATTGTTACCGCACTGATAATCGTCGGGGCATTGTAGAGAATCTGTAGAAAAATTAAAGCGATTGTTTTATTCAACGGGCAAGCACGGACGACAATAATGCTGACAATATTTTGTGCAATAACATCTTATAACAGTTAATATTTTGAGATCATAAATTTATATACAAGCCAATACATGGTTGGATAGTTCAGAGAGAAATACAGACGTTTCCATCGGCGTTCAAATCTGCGTTTGGGAAATTATGAATAAAAAGACTTGTTGTGGTTTTTTTTTTTTTCCAAGAGCATAAGGCAGGAACGTTTTTAATTTTTTCCAGCTGGTTTCTGCCTTTGTTCTTTCTTCACGGACATTCCTTAACAATACCTGTATGGAAAATAAAGTTGGTGTTGCCTCTTGAACACCTTACTTCATACCAAAATCAGCAGTTTTCACCCCTAGGTAAGAGGACGAACGTCCCCGCGGACCCCGCCCATTTCACAAAGTTTCTCTCTTGGGATGGTGGCTGCACATACATGTTTTAAGGGAAATATCCTATGTTGCTCCTCAGAACAAACAGTTGTGTCTTTGTTTACTATCAGCCCACAGAGTTAAGCAAATTTTAGAATTTGATCGGCTGTAAATAATTTGACGATGTTTAACATCCCTACCTCTGCAGAATCGTCCATTCCCAGTAAGGTTTCCTTTACAGTAACATTTTCCATAAAAGCATTCTGCTTGCTCGTGGCATTTGTGCTCTTCGTCACACAGATGAAATGGTGCTTGAAAAGTAATAAAAACTTATTTTATTGTTAATAATCTGTAGGGGGGGGGCAACTATTACCCAGTCATTGCTTATAAAAATAAATCGGTCGGCTAGGGAAGAATAGATTAAATAAGGGCTGAGATAGATGATTGTCCATATTACTGTTGTCGAAAAGTTAACTCCTCGCTAACCTGTCTAGAATGTATGCATAAATATTTTACTTTTTTAGCTATAAAAACTGTGAAATAGTTTAACGCCAGTGATAAGAGAATCCAAAAATATTAGAACTTTAATTTAAGCGATCTCTTGAAGCCTTCATGTCTAAAAGAGTTAAATATTATCTGTAAATAACACCGGAAAATATCATTTTTCGCGCATTACTTTAGATTTCTCGTTATTACTTGATTGGTTTTTATCGATTACTTTTATTCTTTTACATTTATTATTTTTACACGTACACGTTTACGAGCACTTATGAGCTCCTAGGTGTTACGTGGTTAAACATTTAATGGATTGATTGATTGATTGATTGATTGTCCCCAGTCGACTTCATTGTTCGCGTGGTAGTGGAACGTGAGGGGTGATAGTTCCTCTTGTGCCTTCCGATTACCCCTTGCGGCTTCAAGCACGTTCTCAGCTCGATCCTATGCATGCCCGCGAGTTTAGTATATCGTTCTATATAGAAGTAGCTTGTAGAGTAGGCGTTTTTAACGACAGTGCGACGTAGAGGTACATTGATCGTGGCCTCCATCATGAAAGTAATTGAAAAAGTGAGGAAGGAGGACCGGGCGAGGGGTAGATGGAGGGGAGGGGAGAAAAAGGAAAGTTTGTATCTTGGGACAAACCAAATGTGAAACTATTCGAGTGCAAAAGAGATGAAAATTAACATGGTCGACGAAAATTGTTTATTTTTCGCTTCCCTTGTCTAATGTTATAAGTTGTGATGATGTTAAACAAAACCTAATCTTCCTAACCTGGCTTGCAAGTTTTTCCTTGTTTTATTAGCTCATCTTTGCACTTGCAGAGTCCACGTGCACGGTCACATGTGGAATATTTTGGACAATTCTTATCACTGAGGCACTCTGTTGAATAGTCAGAGACAAATTAGTTGACCAAAATTATAACAATAAGCCTGACGTTACCTGTTTTCACCAAAATACAAATCATCACACCCTAATTAAATGGAGAGGAATTTTAGGTCAGGGGTTACGAGCCGTACCCTTCTTACAAAGTGTTGATAGATGGATCGAGAGAAATGCATTTTAAGGCAATAAGGGCTGAAGCTAGTGCCCCATTGAAGACAAAAATAGGTCGGCCGGGATAGCGACTTAAATACAGAATCTCTTCAGAGAGAAAATCACATCACAAAACGACATTAATTCGTGATTTTCTTAGATAACTCAGGTTCAAATCGTAACCGCGGCCCGGGAGAGTTTTTGCATGGGAGGGAATAAGAGTTGCATAAAAACTTTTTAACTTACCAACACACTTTCCATCTTTCATGTAGCTGTAACCTTTCTCGCATCTGCACTTAGGATCCGTTTTTGGAAGCAGAGGATCAACAATGCATGTACCACGAATGCCACACTGAAATCCTTGAGGACATGCAAGTGTCTCTGAAATTTTAAAATTTTGAATACATACATTTTAGCCTGCGAAAACAGACGTTTCTCCTCGCTCTTCGCGGCTGTAAATGAAACGGCTGTTTTCACAGGCTAATACATTTCAATGCGTTTAAGCCTTTCGTCCACACTAATACGCAGAGCGTTTTCATCGAAAACGCGTCGATTTGAAAACGCCCTTGAGAGTGGATCAAAACGAAAACGCATACAAATCGTATTAGCGTGGACGGTCGAAAACGCAACAAAATAAAATGAAAACGATACCACAAATATCACAGGCGCGTGTGTTTAGAGCATGCGCATTGCAGATCTATCATTTTCGAACGTTTTATTGTAGATTGTCGTAAAAGCATCATACGTTAGTGTTGGCGAGTATCGATCGATGCGTTTTCGATGACAACGAAAACTCACACTTTTGAAAACGCATTAGTGCGGACAGAACCTTTGAGTTGAGATTTCTGGGAAAGTTTCGGTAACAATGTTGAGCCAGCATGCTTGTTTGATGGCTGTCGGACGGAAGTACTAATAACCAATCATAACTCAGTAACGCTGGTCACCCGGTACATGAACTCAGTAATATGTTGCAGTAAGTACCACTAAAAGCTAGAACCCAGTCTTTCCATGGTGAATTACCTCTACAGAACTTTCCATTTCCTGTTGTATTTCCTTGACAGATGCATTTACCGTCATTGCATTTTGCCCGAGAATCACAGTCCATGTCTTTCTTGCATCCGTGTAAAGGAGCTGTAATTATTGCATATAAAAGAGTTGTTAATGTTAAAAACCAGCTGACACTGACACTATTCGGTAGTTAGTTACTATGGAATTCCTTGATATTATATGGTTCTTAACAAAACATGCAATCCTTTCTGTCTCCCTCTCAATTTTATCTTGTATTTTTTTTTATTTTGACACAGCGCGCACGGTTATACTCTGAGTTATGTATTGTAATAAAACAAACATAAAACCAGTTTCAAACAGACGACATCATTACGCAAGTATCTAACATGATTCATGTTAGCCTGCAGACAAGCTCTCCATTTCGAATGGCGATCTGAGCGAAGCGAGCGAGCCGGGCGAGAGCGTGCGAGCAAGCCGAGCGATGCCACTTACGCGTGAAAAGGGGATTTATGATCATAGCAAAAAACCCTGTACCTTGTACTGAAGGTGTACCAGCAATGAAACATGATACGAATCAGCTAATTATAATCCGATCGATCCGGGAAAAGTTCTCACCTGGTTTGCATGTTTTCTCGTCCTTTATCAGCTCATCTTTGCACTTGCAAATTCCCTTATAGCAAGTTTCTTGCACGTGATTGCAGTGTGTGTTATTTATGCATTCTGATAAAAAACGGTCAAAGTCAAAGGTTAACATCGTGACGCATTGTCTAGGAAGAACTGATAGGGGGAGGGTGGGGTAAGATTGTTCTTTTTCCCAAGTTAATTAAAATGAGCACATAATATTTTTACAAAAGATCCTCACGTATAAACCTATCTTGTGGTGCTAAACCCTTTTAGTCTGGCAAGGCACCCTTCCAAGCAGTCTCTTATTTTGTTCATGTGAAACGCAGAGCAGATGACGGGTAGTGAGCGGTATGATATGATGATGGGGGTGGGGTGGGGGGAGGGATCCCCGATTGGATTTCCAAGCTGTATATTCTCCCACTCTCTCTTATTTTTTCTTTTATCAACTCACCTACGCATTTTCCGTTCATGTTTTTTCTATATCCCGCGTCACACTTACAGGTCGGAGTTTTTGGAAACAGGGGATCTACCATACAAGTCGAGTGAGCTCCACATTTGACATCCTTTGGGCAGCGCTTGGCGTCTGTTATGAAAGCAAAAGAACGTAAGCAAGTTAACATCTTTCCCAAATCAATAGATGCCAACATTTTAACTCTGTCTTTGGTCTTATTTTTTAACTTGTAAAACTAAAGATTCTATTTAGTTCCCACCTCTGCACTGCACGCCATTTCCAACATAGAATCCATCACAGTAACACATTCCAGAGACGCATTTTCCTTTATCAGCATGGCAATCATCGTCTTTGGTACAGGACATTGGTGACGCTATACAATTCAGATATATAACAAAATTGAAAGTGATTCATTGTCATCTACATGATCATTTTTAACATGCTTGCCAGTTTAAGTAAGTACCGTAAAATTCCGAAAATGACCCCGGGGCTTATATCTTTCAAAGGCCCTTTTTGAGGGGCTTATTTTTGGAGGGGCTTATATTCCAGTTCAGAGGGGTTTATCTATAAAGGGAAATTTGCGTTTGGAAATCGATTGGGCTAGCCTTATAGTTGGAAGGAAATTTACCGTTTTTGCTTTATTTTACTTTGTCTGTGGGCAATTTTCAAGTACAAGCCCCCGGGAGTCTTATATTTGGAGAGGCGACTTAACGGAGGGTTTTTTTTGCGTTACGAGTTTGGGGGGCTTATATTTGGAAGGCCTTATACCTGGAGGGGCTTATTTTCGGAATTTTACGGTACGTTCACACTATACCCAATATCTTTTCGTCGTGCTGACATAAAAATCTATCCAGTATAATATGAACAGCCACGGTACGAAACTGGGACAAGTCGGTTGACAAACAATGAACCTCGTGTCGTAGCCGTTGGCCGAGCAGGGTTTGGTGAACTAAATGCCAGTCCTCGTTCCTGAATATTTACTTCGTCTCAGTGGATTGCAGTCCCTGCTCCTACTTGTTCACTTCCGCAACGGTCCGAATACCTGTTTACCCTGCACCAAAGTATGGCACAGAAGCCAGTGTGACGCTCCACTTTAAGGCTAGACGTGGGACAGCTTTGCTCTGTTACAGAAATCGCGCCAAAATTAACATTCTTGCGAGTGAACAGAAGCTTTATCCGGTATGGTTTTCGTGCCGGCGCAAAAGTTATCCGGTATAGAATGACATAGCTTAAGTTATGATATCTAGTAGTATGGCATACTTACGAGCTTTGCATGTTTCTCCGTTTCCAATCAGCTCATAGCGGCACATGCACCTGTTTTTAATGCACTTGGAATAATGTGGACAGTTATTGTCAGTCAAGCAAGGATATCTTCCATGCGCATCGGCTGTCAAGACAAGGACAAACCAAACGAAAGTAAACTAGGTTAAGCTTCAGTAAAACGGGGAGCAAAAAAAATGCAACTTGTCCTGCAACATTGCTGCAAAACGAGTTGTAAAGCGATGTTGCGCCTTTTATTACCCTCGTTCAAAGCTTTTAATTTGTTGCAAGACAGGTTTGATTTGTGGGTGGCAAAACGCGCAACATCGCTATTCAACAGTCGTTTTGCAGCAGTGATGCAAAACAAGTTGCATGTTTTTTGTTGCCCGTTTTGTCGTGCCTTTAGCGAGGAATCTTTTTATACAAGATGAAATACATAGATGTGAGGCAGAGTAGCCGAGCGGTTAGAACGCTGGAATTGTAATCCGGAATAGCCAACTGGTTTGAATCCGGCCAGATTGCCTTGGATTCTTAACCGTGTGGGCCACCATGGAAACTACTGGTCTGGTTTACCAGTAGTTGTGTTTCCTCTATAAAGTCAGTTTTTTTTATGTATATAAAGATCGGTTGTTTGGGTGAACAAATAAAATAACAAGTTAACACTTCATACAAACTAACAGATTCGGTGAATGAATGATTGATTTTTCTTTTATTTTGATCATCTGTTGACTGTGCGATAATTTGACTACAGTGTGTACTTTACTGGTTGATTAATTCAGTTACAACATTATTGCTAGTTGTTTGAACGATAAATGAAGGAACGAACGAACGAATGAATTGATGGATGAATGGATTGATGGATGGATAACTGAATGGAAAAACGAATGAATGAACGAACGAACGCTCGGACGCACGAACGATGGACGAACGATCGTCGAATGAACGAATGAATGATTGCGTCAAAGAACGTTTGGACAGACAAACACAAAAATGCTGTTGCATGATCAGTTCCTGGAAAAAATATTATCAAACCATGGTTAACACGTTAGAGAGGTTGTTTTACCTCCATCATCCTTGAGACATGATGGTAATACTGGTCTTCCAAAATATCCTTTATCACACCTACAGGACAACGTTAGCTTTCCTGGTTTCCTCACACAGTGAGAATTTTTAATTACTTCTTGTCCACTTGAAGTACAGGGGTCTTTTTCATAGGGACACGTCTTCCATGCTGTAAAAAAGAGAGACTTCGAGTTGAATTTGAGGCTAGTGTTTAAGGGACTAATGGGCAGTCAAATAAAAGCCTAATTCATTGACAGGTCTCCTGTGGACAAATCAACCCCTTGAGGCGAAACTGCTTCACTAGAATTGTAACTTATATCGCAAGTCATTGAATGCTAAACCATAAAAGGAAAATAAAGTGCTCGTCCAACCTTAAAGCTTCCGTGGCTATAGGAAGGCTTTACCTAAAACTTTCCACACGTATCCGGATATTTTCGAAAACGGGGATTTTTCTCCGATCCGTTTCAGTCTTCTGTCGATTCCATACGTAAACAGTCTCAGGGCCGTAGCCAGGAAGAAACTACAACCGAGGCGAACACACGGTCCGTTGTACGAAATCAGCCGTATGAAATCTTCTAATATTATCAGTCTGATAAAAAAAATAAAAATCGACAGTATTTGGTAAAATTTTACCGAGGCGAGTGCCTCGGTTCGCCTCATACTGGCTACGGCGGTGAGTCTTCTCAGTTTTCGGGCACCAAAAACGCAAGTTTTCAAACACGGTCCTTAGGGTGGAGTTTTTTTTTAAACGCCGGCTTCCCTTTTAGGTGTGGACGGACGAAAACGGAGATTTTCGAATGCGATGATCTTATACATACTACTAGAGCAGCTTGCGCATGCTCTGTAAGGGATGCTATCGTATTTCCGTCGTTTTAGCGTTTTAATGTGGGCGAGCGAAAACGATTCAAATACGTTACATGTGATCGCGTATTTTTGGTTGAAATCAGAGCCGAAAAACGAATTCCTTTTATGTCTTTTCACCCTGTGCAATGGTCTGAGCAGAGGGTCACAATAGGTTTTTCTGGATCCGGGATTAGCCTAGTCTGAAGTCCAGGGTGTGGGATTTTAAGTAAAATGGGGTCCAGATTCGGGATTGAAGGTATGCAAGGGATGTACGATGTCGAAAATAGCCATCGGGTTTACGGGATTGAGGGAAAATTTGAGTCGGGATGACGGGATTGAGCTGTGCATGTGAACCCTCTTAACGCTTTACAACGGTTTCGCTGATCTGTCAAATTCGCTACGTTCGAGTTCGCTACCTACATATTCGTCTCGCTGCCTATCGGCTAAGCCCAAAACTTTCACCCTCGGAGGGGGAAGCTTAGAAGAACGAAAGATGCATTAAAAGATTTTTTTCTACAGCGATCAAGGGAATATTTTCAATCGTTTACAGAAAGTAATATGTAGCGAGTTTGTTGCGAACTGAAACGAAGCGAATCCGACAAGTAGCGAAACCGGTTGTACCCTCTTAACCACTACGAAGACAGAGATAGCAATCTTCTTGCCCGAGAAAAAGAATTTGATGAGAAAAAAAGTTTCATCTTTTTTTCGAAGTCTACGTACTAAAATGACAGTGAGCTGCACATTTTTGCCTCCGATTTGTTGTGAGTAGATGAATAAACCTTACCTTCACATTTAGTTTTTCCATCCCCAAATCCAAGATTGTTGACGCAGTGACATTCTCTTCGAATGCATTTAGCTTGCCCCTGTAAGCAATCCTTGTCAGAATTGCATTTTGCTGGCTCAGCTGAAATGATATAGCCACACAATCAAGAATGTTTGAGTAGTATCGTGTCCTTTTTAGTGCATATGTTGAACAAACTTTTGTATGTGTGGCTCCGCCCCGAGGGCCAACCCTTGAGAATACCTGAATACGTGATCTACTAGATGCGGTTACAACTGCATGAGCATTTTAAAATCAATAGTAATCGCACTGTCAATGAAATTACTCACACCTACACGAATGAACCAGAGCTTGAGACAAACACGTGCATGCAGATCGCCTCAGAAAAACCTTAAGAAGAACACTTTAAAATTCGGCTCTAACTTTGTTGGTTGAGTGAAAAAAAAAATGGCCGAATTTGCACTGGAGACGAATTATCCGTCTGAGACGGATAATTCGTCCAAGTATAAACACGTTGCTAAGACAAGTTATGGAGCAAAATTTGTCTGAGGCTGATTCGTCTGTTACCACGTCTTGAAGACTTGCTAACAGACGGAAGATTCGTCCTAGAGGGATGATCCGTCTCTAAATTTATATCTAGACGGAACGACTTAGACGGTTTTTTGACGAAGTTTCCACATGAGAGGAACCGGTTTCTATATTTTCCGATGTTCCCTATTTCCCTCTTAAAGCATCTAGACAAATTATTGGTCAAAATTCGTCTTCGGATTTATATAAACTTAGACGGATTATTCGTCTGACGGATAATCCCTCTAGACGAATAGTTCGTCTCCAGCACTTGTAAATTCGGCCCATTTCGCAAATGCGCTCAGAGAAAAAATCATTCGAGACCATGCTATGACGCCGAAGATCGAAAATCATCTAAAAGTCTTCTCCAATCTCAGTTTCAGTACCAAAGAAATAACTTACGATATGTTACGGAAGTTACTTGTCTGCCAACGGATTCAAAAACGTGGATTAATGAACAGAAGACCAGGATAGTGCAGAGTACTTGTCGTGATCTTCTTCCCATTTACAGGTTTCCTATTCCACGGGATTCATCCAGGTGGTCAAAGGACACAAAACTTTAAACATTATTTTCTGTAGAGAAAAATGATCTTAATATTTCATTAATTGACGTAATAATAATGATTGATGATTGATTAAAGTAATTAATTCTAAAAACAAAAAAACAAGGCAAACGAAATATAAAAAGCCTTTCTAGTCTGTTGTTGTTGTTGTGTTTTCTTCTACTACTTCTTTTTGTAAAAGTGAAATAACGAAAAACGCGCGGAAAAAGTTAGTCTCCCTCACAGCCGTTATTTGGATGTCACGCAACGTGACATCCAAAATGTTTCTGTGTTTTTATGCTTTTGTCGCCTGGAAACAAGTTTCATCGCTTGAAGGCGAGGTCCCGCAGCAATCAAAATGGCGGTTTCCGCGTTTTGCTGTTTACTGTACTTCGTTGAGAATTTTTAAAGAAAATTTGCCTCGATATGAGAATGTAAGCCGTAAGACGTCCAAAAATGTTTCTTGGGAGTCTTGTTGTTTCAAGATTTTTAAGTCTTGTCGCACATTTTGTCGTTACTATCATAATATTTTTATCCAAGGTTAGTGAAAATTTTACTAGACACTTCAGCAACATTTATAAAAGTTAAGCTTAATTATCATACGTACTGCTGTTCCGTAACTGAACTTAACGTTATTCATTCAGTCCTTTCAGACATAGATTTACATTTTCTTACATTTGTTTTACTGTACTAATGAAGCTGAAACTATATCTTAGATGCCCGACCGTTCTTTGTCTAAAGCAAAGCATGTTGCTAGCACTTTCGTATTATTTTCTCAATCAGCTTATATGTATGCAAAATAAATGTGGGGGGCTGTGCGTAAATCTTACCAGCTTTCACTTATACTGTTTTCGTTGATTTTTGTAGGATGCCAACGTGAAAGCATGCTTACCACTCCAGTATACAGACAGTGAATTTTCATCTAAAGATACCGAGTATGTATATGAAAACAATATTCAAAAATCTTTTTTGCTCCGTTTAAGCTGATGTGTTTCATGTTTTCAGTTTCATCAGGAAGTTTTGAAAGCAAACTTATCCATGTAAAAAAAAATTAAGTGTATGTAACACTGTTGAACTAATCTACTAATGGCCACCTCTCCACAACCGCCACCTCTATACAATGGCCACTTTTTTTGCAGACAGTCCATACATTGAATCTTGTGTAAACCTCTCCACAATTGCCACTCTCTACAATGGCCACTGTCTTCTGTCCCGAAGGTGGCCATTGTAGAAAGGCTCAACTGTATTAACTACAACAAACAAACAAAGACAACAATTTTTTTTTTATTAACAAACAATAAAGTTTTACAGTATTCTGTGTGCCCGCAAATAGCTATCAAGCTAATCTAGGTGGGACAAAACATTAGACAAAAGGCGTTATTCCACTTCGAGAATATTGACTCAGAGAAGAATTTGCATTCTTCCAAGGGTCGTTTCATTTTTATTCATACCCTACCCCCCAAACACACACCCACCCTCCCCCCACCCCCCCATATATGAGTGTCCTCGGCAGATAACTGGGAGAAATCTATTTTAAAAGAGGCCAAAAAATTGAAACGGGGGAGTGGGGGTGGGGAGGGTGTTGGAAAGATTTTTCAAAAGGTTGTGAGAAAGAGTTAAGGTGGTAGAAACCTGGGGTGAGATTCAGAACAACAATGGAATATCTTAAACAGGAGTTGAACCCGGAGACATATGTGACCTTCTACACTGTAGTTATTAACTAGTCCAGATGTTCTTCCACTGAGCTGTAGGAGACTTGTGGGAGCTAAGCCCATAAACTAAGGTTCATGGGACAATTTTACAACTTTGTGATAACAATACTCATTGTTTAGGTTGATTGTTGGTTTGTCTCTTACTCTGGTGTTTCTGGGTGTGGAATTTGGAGGATTCTTAGGTGGTTGTTCTATGTTCAGTGGCACAGCAAGTATGTTTTGTATCCTTTTAAACTGATAGAATTATTTTTATCTCAATCTACTTGGATAGAGCAATGTCAAGTCTGCCCGGCGAGGGTACTTCCTAAGTAATAAGCTAATGGGGATGTGCCGCTAGATGGGGTCACATTTTCACGGCTGGATTGACTATAATAATGGGATTACTGACATTTTCAAAAGAGTTTTTTGGGATCTTGGGGTCCAGAAAATTTTTATCTCTAGGAATTGGAAAAAAAATGTTTGAATTCATTTTATTAAGGTGACTGACCTACTGGTAACTAAAAGGCTTTTTAGTCCAATGCATACAGAGAAAGTTGCCAAGTAAATTTGCCCAAAAGTGACTAAGTTGGGGTCTATATAATTGGTCACTAAAATATAGACTATAATGGGCTAGGGGTTCTTAGAGGCCAGTGGTATTATATGTTGTGGTTCAATTTTATCTTTGGTTTAAATTTTCTTTTCTTTTGTTTCAAACTAATTATCGTACATTACCATACCCAAACACAAAAGAAAATTAAATTGAAACCAAGGATAAAATTGAACCACAAAATATACACAAAAATGGGCTCAAGTGGTGTAGGTTTTGGGGAAGTACAGTTTTCCCTGTCCCAAGCCTTGTCTGAATAGGGTAATCATCATTTTAACATTGTCATCCTTCTTATCTCTAACTAATGCCATACTGGAGATTGATTTGAAAACTCATTTTTTTTACCTCAGTCTCTGGGCTGCAATAGCTGTTTACTATGTGTGTGTGTTTTTCCTCATCTATTTTCAATAATTCATATAGGTAATGTGCAAGTGCAAATCAAGTTTGTTTTTTTACGTGTTTATTTGTTTATTTAATATGTGCATTTATCATGACCTTTCCTTGACAAGTAGCAGCAATAGCAGCCCACTCCAGTGCTGCCATTTCATTGTCCATGTTTGTTCTTGAAGAGTGGGATTGTGACAAGTTCTGGTACGTTTTTGGATTCTGTAGGTAAGTGCTTTTTACGTCACTTTGGAAAAGATGTAATGTTCTTCAGCTTCACAAACAAGACATTGGCGATTGCTCATCTGCAGAGCAAACAAAGAATCAAAGGATTGCTTGGCAAAAACCAAAACAAGAAATTTTAGTAATAGAACACTGAACAAAAAAAAATTGGCTTTTAAGTACCTGATAAACTTATAGAATCAGAATCCTTTTTTTCTGATATAGAATTTCTTTTGTCTTCTAGTGTCAACCTTATTTAGTGATTGTTTTAGTGTGTAAAAAATGCCCTAGCTTAGGTTTGAAATATCAACAAATTTGGAGACAAGAATGTCAAAACCAAACAGAGGACAGCTGTGTTTTTACTCATGTGCATGTAGCTGTCCCATTTCAATGTCAAGGAGCAGGATTAGCACAGTGGTGTGCAGCCTTCTGTGCAGCAGGTTCTGAGTCTGATTCCCAGTTGTTTACCTTAAAATGCAAATTTCTCTTAGTATTTTATGGTGAGTAGAAGGTCTACATGATTTGGCTTTGGCATTCAAGTCCTAATAGTTATCAGCATCAATTTTCCCCTAACAATATGAATACATAATCAAAGGAAAAGGTAAAGAGAATTAACAAAATAATCAACAAGGGAAAATGCTTTGGTCTTTTACAATGCATCAAAGTAATTCTTTCAACCTGTTCTTTAAGGAAATGTATGGAGAACAGGCTGGAAGGTTTGTGTTTAGGTAATAGCAGTTGATACAGTAGTCAGATCAGGTCATATCAGAGCTGCTCTGCTACTACATGTAACCCAGTACAACCTGCCACCTGGTCAGGTAGTCGGTGACTAAATGGACTCCCCCACCAGTTTTTAGCTGGTGAGGAGGGTGCAGGATGAAAAACAAGACCTGTCAAAGTGTGGGTGAGCTCACAGTAAGTCAACAGCCATCGTGCAAATCTTGGCAAGGAGTCGCGACCCACCAAGGTGCATCTATCACAATGTATGGACAATGGCTCGGCTGTGGCTGACTTAGTAGTAGAAGTGATACACTAGTCACTATTTTCTTAAAATATCCTTTTCAGTGCCTTTCCTGTTGTCATGGAAACCTTTGTCCTGCTTGGTGTTCTTGTCTTCCGAGCTGACAGATAGCATGGGCCACAAGTTCTGTTGTAAATTGCACTGCTGTACAATATTTTGTAACCTCTCAACAGCTTCTACAGATGTGGTTCCAAAAGAATGAGAAGACTTTTAGTGCAGTCGCAGCCGCAACATGCAAAGGGATAATAATGTTTCTGTTACCAACTCATTCACAGCGCAAAGAAAGTCAGTTCTACCATGTACTAGCCTGAATGTCATTTTCATTAGCCCCGGCGAAAAAAATTTTAGATGAGCAGTTTTAATAATAATAATAATTATTATTATATTAGTTGTTTCATTACCAGCTTTGCCAATTATTCATTACAACAATAATTGTAATGATGTTAACAATCTGTAATAATTTCACTTCTTCAGTTCAGCTTGAAAACAGCTTATGATCTACATGAAGTTATTAGGAACTTAAACAATTTGTCTTACAGTACTTCTGTAATTGAAATTTCCCCTCAACGCCCCCCCCCCCCAAAAAAAAAGCTAAAAACAAAGTTCACCAGCCCCACCACATGACTTCCTTTTCCGCGCTGTCATTAATTTTTTGTTCCTTTCCTGTTAACACATGATCAAAGTCTGTAATATCACCTTTTTTCTTCTTGGCTCTTTTCTCACCTTTTGGCCGTACACTAGGCATTTTTTTGTTTACATTTGTTGTGGCAATAGTATTGCTGCTGAATGGGGTTAATTCTATGCAGCCGGCGAATAGGAAACGCACGAGAGAGCTTGAGATGGGGAAGTTGCGCAAAAAACCATGTATTTTTGTGTTTGTTGTTGCTTCCCTTTTCCCCTTACGGTCTAAGAAACCTTTTTTATAAACGTAAGTTCATTCTGATGAAAGTTGTAAAATAGATATATTTGAATGCTGTAAAATTAAAATAGAGTTTCCCCTACAGCGAGCCTCGTTTCATGATGTTTAAGATATGATAAATAAAATTAAAGCAAAAGCATATAACCCTGAAGCGTCTGAATTCCCCTACTTTGTTTAGAACCATGCATGCTCAGCTGCATGCTGGGGTGTTTTAGCCGTCCAATCAGAAGCACGGAAAACATTTTTTGCCCAAATATGGAATAAGAAGATTGGAAGACATCCCTGGCTTAAAATAGCGCTAATACAATGTAACTCAGTGATTCTTCCAGTATTTAAACATTCTTCAAGTACTGCATCATAACTCAATATACACTATGAACTATGGCCGTTAACATTGTTATACATGTATAACGTAACCAACGGACAAGACATTTACAGATAGTGGAGCCGAATTATCTTCTTTGCGAAGGCTTTCCGCAAAACAAAAAAAAACTCTCCTTGCTCGATAAGCAGTTTTCCTTCTCGGCGTGTATTGTAAAACATTTTACATGCTATTCTGAGCGGCTTCTGTACATGGCTGATAATATTAATAAGATAGCAACCTTGGAAAATTATGAGGTACAAAAAAAAGTTTAATGTCAATTTGAAAATTGTAAAATCGATGCTGTTCGACTCTTTCGAACAGCGTCGAGTTGTAAAAGACTCTTTTGAACAGCGTCGATTTTACAATATTTACCGGTAATTAACATTAAGTAACTACACTGCGCAGGGATTTTAATCTTTATTACACAAAAAAAGTTGTCTGATGTTGACGCATACTCTTTTGCTAGCTAGCTAGCTAGTTTTCGCTAGCTTTTGTCAACAATTTTGTGAATAACACTCCGATTTTGGTTGAAGAAAAGTTATACGCCCGGAACGCAAGTTTCTTCAGTTAAAGACGTTATGTAACTTTTTGATAATTTGTTATAATATCATCCTGTAAACTAACTAACTGCTAACGTCACGTATCACCAACGGCTTTTCTGTTCACCATTCATTTTTTGAACAAAGTTATACGCTTCAGGTTTATATAATTCTGGTTCCAGTGAACGTGCGCAAGTCTCAAAGCGCGCGCGCACGCGTGCTGCAAGAGAAAGTGATGTAAGATGATAGCGTCACAAACCTAAAGTTCTTCAACGACTTTTGTTAACGGACTTCGCCTGTGTTTCTTTCGTTTTACTAGAACTGAAATTTTTCTTATGTGATCGCGCAGCAACAGGTTTTGTGTTCAATTTACACGATGACAAAACGTTCAACAGTTGCGGATCAAGCGCTTAATTAAAATCTTGATCAGCTGTTCGAGCAGCTCATAAAAGCCTTGAAAGTTGTGGAAATGGCATCTGTTACCAAGTGGAGTGTTGCTTTGTTGGCGTTAAGTTTCTTTGATTACCGTAAGTTTTTAATCTTATTATTTTTGGCCGCCTTAATTAAAGTAATAACACAGGAATGGATAACTAGATCTTCGTAGTTGACTGTTTACCGCTCAGTAAAGTTAAGTGTGCCTTGGCCTTAGCGATTAATGATGACAGACACGAAAAAATTGAAGAAAAACTAAGAGTAAATTGACAAAAATTGGTGTAGCTGTTAGCAGTTATGTTAAATATAAGTCTCCTTTTTTGAAATTTAGTTTATTTCATTGCAATGTATGCTATAGTATGACTCACTTCGCCTGGATTAGCTGATTCTACCTGCCGACCAGTCTCTCGTGTGTTGTACAGTCGACTCCCTTTACTGCGGACACTGTAGGGACGTTGAGTTGGCGTCCTCATTAGCGAGAGTCCGTACGTAATAGGGGGAGCTTACTCCAGTCAAACCTCTGTAGTTTTATTTTTTCCGGGGATTTAGTGCTGTTATCAGGGTGTCCGCAAGACGAGAGTCGACTTTATTTGCAATTTATATATTTTTCTAATAAAGTCGGAGGAGGATTATCGCTTACCCAGGCGCTTACTTAGGTTAAGGTGATGCCATAGTGAAAGAACCTAACATAGATTTTAGCTTAAACTTGGTACACTGATGTAACAAGTCAAGAAGATGATAAAAAAGTAATAAAAAGTGGGGGTCACCGTGCTCGTTTTGACGTCACAATGCTGACAAATACGGCTAAGACCTTTCCTTGACAAGTAGCAGCAATAGCAGCCCACTCCAGTGCTGCCATTTCATTGTCCATGTTTGTTCTTGAAGAGTGGGATTGTGACAAGTTCTGGTACGTTTTTGGATTCTGTAGGTAAGTGCTTTTTACGTCACTTTGGAAAAGATGTAATGTTCTTCAGCTTCACAAACAAGACATTGGCGATTGCTCATCTGCAGAGCAAACAAAGAATCAAAGGATTGCTTGGCAAAAACCAAAACAAGAAATTTTAGTAATAGAACACTGAACAAAAAAAAATTGGCTTTTAAGTACCTGATAAACTTATAGAATCAGAATCCTTTTTTTCTGATATAGAATTTCTTTTGTCTTCTAGTGTCAACCTTATTTAGTGATTGTTTTAGTGTGTAAAAAATGCCCTAGCTTAGGTTTGAAATATCAACAAATTTGGAGACAAGAATGTCAAAACCAAACAGAGGACAGCTGTGTTTTTACTCATGTGCATGTAGCTGTCCCATTTCAATGTCAAGGAGCAGGATTAGCACAGTGGTGTGCAGCCTTCTGTGCAGCAGGTTCTGAGTCTGATTCCCAGTTGTTTACCTTAAAATGCAAATTTCTCTTAGTATTTTATGGTGAGTAGAAGGTCTACATGATTTGGCTTTGGCATTCAAGTCCTAATAGTTATCAGCATCAATTTTCCCCTAACAATATGAATACATAATCAAAGGAAAAGGTAAAGAGAATTAACAAAATAATCAACAAGGGAAAATGCTTTGGTCTTTTACAATGCATCAAAGTAATTCTTTCAACCTGTTCTTTAAGGAAATGTATGGAGAACAGGCTGGAAGGTTTGTGTTTAGGTAATAGCAGTTGATACAGTAGTCAGATCAGGTCATATCAGAGCTGCTCTGCTACTACATGTAACCCAGTACAACCTGCCACCTGGTCAGGTAGTCGGTGACTAAATGGACTCCCCCACCAGTTTTTAGCTGGTGAGGAGGGTGCAGGATGAAAAACAAGACCTGTCAAAGTGTGGGTGAGCTCACAGTAAGTCAACAGCCATCGTGCAAATCTTGGCAAGGAGTCGCGACCCACCAAGGTGCATCTATCACAATGTATGGACAATGGCTCGGCTGTGGCTGACTTAGTAGTAGAAGTGATACACTAGTCACTATTTTCTTAAAATATCCTTTTCAGTGCCTTTCCTGTTGTCATGGAAACCTTTGTCCTGCTTGGTGTTCTTGTCTTCCGAGCTGACAGATAGCATGGGCCACAAGTTCTGTTGTAAATTGCACTGCTGTACAATATTTTGTAACCTCTCAACAGCTTCTACAGATGTGGTTCCAAAAGAATGAGAAGACTTTTAGTGCAGTCGCAGCCGCAACATGCAAAGGGATAATAATGTTTCTGTTACCAACTCATTCACAGCGCAAAGAAAGTCAGTTCTACCATGTACTAGCCTGAATGTCATTTTCATTAGCCCCGGCGAAAAAAATTTTAGATGAGCAGTTTTAATAATAATAATAATTATTATTATATTAGTTGTTTCATTACCAGCTTTGCCAATTATTCATTACAACAATAATTGTAATGATGTTAACAATCTGTAATAATTTCACTTCTTCAGTTCAGCTTGAAAACAGCTTATGATCTACATGAAGTTATTAGGAACTTAAACAATTTGTCTTACAGTACTTCTGTAATTGAAATTTCCCCTCAACGCCCCCCCCCCCCAAAAAAAAAGCTAAAAACAAAGTTCACCAGCCCCACCACATGACTTCCTTTTCCGCGCTGTCATTAATTTTTTGTTCCTTTCCTGTTAACACATGATCAAAGTCTGTAATATCACCTTTTTTCTTCTTGGCTCTTTTCTCACCTTTTGGCCGTACACTAGGCATTTTTTTGTTTACATTTGTTGTGGCAATAGTATTGCTGCTGAATGGGGTTAATTCTATGCAGCCGGCGAATAGGAAACGCACGAGAGAGCTTGAGATGGGGAAGTTGCGCAAAAAACCATGTATTTTTGTGTTTGTTGTTGCTTCCCTTTTCCCCTTACGGTCTAAGAAACCTTTTTTATAAACGTAAGTTCATTCTGATGAAAGTTGTAAAATAGATATATTTGAATGCTGTAAAATTAAAATAGAGTTTCCCCTACAGCGAGCCTCGTTTCATGATGTTTAAGATATGATAAATAAAATTAAAGCAAAAGCATATAACCCTGAAGCGTCTGAATTCCCCTACTTTGTTTAGAACCATGCATGCTCAGCTGCATGCTGGGGTGTTTTAGCCGTCCAATCAGAAGCACGGAAAACATTTTTTGCCCAAATATGGAATAAGAAGATTGGAAGACATCCCTGGCTTAAAATAGCGCTAATACAATGTAACTCAGTGATTCTTCCAGTATTTAAACATTCTTCAAGTACTGCATCATAACTCAATATACACTATGAACTATGGCCGTTAACATTGTTATACATGTATAACGTAACCAACGGACAAGACATTTACAGATAGTGGAGCCGAATTATCTTCTTTGCGAAGGCTTTCCGCAAAACAAAAAAAAACTCTCCTTGCTCGATAAGCAGTTTTCCTTCTCGGCGTGTATTGTAAAACATTTTACATGCTATTCTGAGCGGCTTCTGTACATGGCTGATAATATTAATAAGATAGCAACCTTGGAAAATTATGAGGTACAAAAAAAAGTTTAATGTCAATTTGAAAATTGTAAAATCGATGCTGTTCGACTCTTTCGAACAGCGTCGAGTTGTAAAAGACTCTTTTGAACAGCGTCGATTTTACAATATTTACCGGTAATTAACATTAAGTAACTACACTGCGCAGGGATTTTAATCTTTATTACACAAAAAAAGTTGTCTGATGTTGACGCATACTCTTTTGCTAGCTAGCTAGCTAGTTTTCGCTAGCTTTTGTCAACAATTTTGTGAATAACACTCCGATTTTGGTTGAAGAAAAGTTATACGCCCGGAACGCAAGTTTCTTCAGTTAAAGACGTTATGTAACTTTTTGATAATTTGTTATAATATCATCCTGTAAACTAACTAACTGCTAACGTCACGTATCACCAACGGCTTTTCTGTTCACCATTCATTTTTTGAACAAAGTTATACGCTTCAGGTTTATATAATTCTGGTTCCAGTGAACGTGCGCAAGTCTCAAAGCGCGCGCGCACGCGTGCTGCAAGAGAAAGTGATGTAAGATGATAGCGTCACAAACCTAAAGTTCTTCAACGACTTTTGTTAACGGACTTCGCCTGTGTTTCTTTCGTTTTACTAGAACTGAAATTTTTCTTATGTGATCGCGCAGCAACAGGTTTTGTGTTCAATTTACACGATGACAAAACGTTCAACAGTTGCGGATCAAGCGCTTAATTAAAATCTTGATCAGCTGTTCGAGCAGCTCATAAAAGCCTTGAAAGTTGTGGAAATGGCATCTGTTACCAAGTGGAGTGTTGCTTTGTTGGCGTTAAGTTTCTTTGATTACCGTAAGTTTTTAATCTTATTATTTTTGGCCGCCTTAATTAAAGTAATAACACAGGAATGGATAACTAGATCTTCGTAGTTGACTGTTTACCGCTCAGTAAAGTTAAGTGTGCCTTGGCCTTAGCGATTAATGATGACAGACACGAAAAAATTGAAGAAAAACTAAGAGTAAATTGACAAAAATTGGTGTAGCTGTTAGCAGTTATGTTAAATATAAGTCTCCTTTTTTGAAATTTAGTTTATTTCATTGCAATGTATGCTATAGTATGACTCACTTCGCCTGGATTAGCTGATTCTACCTGCCGACCAGTCTCTCGTGTGTTGTACAGTCGACTCCCTTTACTGCGGACACTGTAGGGACGTCGAGTTGGCGTTCTCATTAGCGAGAGTCCGTACGTAATAGGGGGAGCTTACTCCAGTCAAACCTCTGTAGTTTTATTTTTTCCGGGGATTTAGTGCTGTTATCAGGGTGTCCGCAAGACGAGAGTCGACTTTATTTGCAATTTATATATTTTTCTAATAAAGTCGGAGGAGGATTATCGCTTACCCAGGCGCTTACTTAGGTTAAGGTGATTCCATAGTAAAAGAACCTAACATAGATTTTAGCTTAAACTTGGTACACTGATGTAACAAGTCAAGAAGATGATAAAAAAGTAATAAAAAGTGGGGGTCACCGTGCTCGTTTTGACGTCACAATGCTGACAAATACGGCTATTTAGGACCCTTTTACAAAAACCGCGGGCAGCGCAAAGCTAGACAAAAAGGAGAGATTTTTTCGATGATGCATTTGACATCACACAGAATTTGACTTTAATGTATTGTTTATCCACTTACGTACCAGAAAAATGCCTAGAATTAAATTGGACGCGCGCTTTTCGACCCGTGATGGCTCAATCCGTACAATTTAGTAAAATTGCCAAAAAACTGAACATAGATTTGTGCCATTTTTTTTCTCATCGAAAGGAAGCACTGTCCTTATTAAAATCATGAAATAAAAAATGGGGGTCACCGTACTCGTTTTTGCGGTAGAGTTGCAGAAAGTGCGCACCAAACGCATTTTCTCCGATTTTTGAGAGAGGACTGGGGCGAGTTTCAAAATAGAATGTATGTGAAAGGGGGAAGAAAGTATTAAAAAATCCGTTTTTACAGAATTTACATCGAGATATCACATTTAGGACACAATGTGATAAAGAAAGTGTTTAAATGAAAATCAAAGTGAGTAAGCACAAATTAAACATCCGCTATCGAGGTTCTCCGGGAGGAGGTCGACTTCAGCAACACACGTACTGCTTACGTTATGCACATTCCCAACACACTGAGTCTCACCTCGGCAAGAAACACAGCAAGCAAAAATTTTAATAGCGTTTCTCTTCAGTCAACTCCATTTTAATAATATTACTTTACATGCGCTTTTTTACGGCGGCCATCTTGTTATGCGCAGTAAGAGATGCGCAGTGCAAAACTAGGGAATCACCTTAAATTGTAACCTAGGTTCCTCAGCTGTTTCTTTGGTTCAAAAGCATTTCCTCTTTCGATTTTGAGATAAATATTAGCGATAAAAAATCACGACGTTTCGACCTCTCCGAGGTCATTTTTAAGTGTATAAAAGTTCTCTAAATTAGCATAAATAAGTTAAAAACAAGTTATAATAGATAAAAATGTGGTGAACGCTAAAATGTGATAAAATATGTAAAAATGTAAAAAGTGCTAAAAATATTTATAAAGTCAAAAAACAATGGAAATAAAACAATGTTAACAAGAACTACTCTAAACAAATAATTTGGCGCGAATTGAATCGCACTGTTTGTTAAGCGATTTTAATAAAAAAATCCAAAAATCAAATTGTAAGCTTTAGGAATTTATAAGAAGTTGCCTAAAGTTTCTACACGTTGAGATTTTATATATACAAATTTCGCACTAATCCTGTGTTATTTTAACCCTGCTTTGAACTATTCCAGTCCCAAAACCCATTTTTCTTTTTTGCTTGTAGCTTTGCTAACTGTCTGCGGAAACGTCAAGCGCAATTGTAGAGAGGCTGAGAGGTTCTATAACCAGACAAACAAAAATATACAAGATCCACAGTTTGACTTTATAACAAAGATGCTTTTACGTTCAATTGCACAAGACTATAGGCAGGATCTTGATAGTAGATGTGCAGGTAAATAATATTGTCACGCTTGTCACACTCCCCCTTGCCGTCGTATTTCCTCTCCCGTCCTGTTGTGTAAGTTCACTAATAACGAACCGTTCACATGAGAAACAAAACGTTAGCTCGGCTATAAGGCGGGTCACCCTTTTGTGATGGTAGGGTCAACATCTAATTATAAGGCATGCCGGGCCAACTTTTCTCCATATAAACACTTTGTCCACTCGATTATCTGGTGAGACAATCAGAACATGCGCTGGTGATGTTGACTTGGACAAACAAATCAACTTTTTTTCTCATACAAACAGTCGCTTAAGTTTACTCGGCGTGTAGGGTGACCTTGGCTTTCTTCCCGGGAGGGGTTTTCTCCGTATAAACGGTCAGTAAAGGGGCCTAAGGTTATATTCACACTATCTTGCATAACTTATCGTGCCGACACGAAAAGCTATTCGGTACAGTGTGAACAGCAAAGTAACAGAACTGTAACCTCCTATACTTGAACAAGTCGTTCACACATATCGAACATCGTGCCGGAGCGGTTGGCCGCATCTCGTTGGCCGTGCACTCAGTCAGTCAGTCAGTCAGTCACTCAGTCCTCAATCCGGAATATTTACTTCCCTTTCAGTGGGTTCCATACCTTACTCTAGTTATTCACTTCCGCAAAGGTCCGATCTGTTCACACTAAGACAAAGTGTGGCGCAGAATCTATTCGAAGTGTGACGCTTCACTTTCGAGGCCCGCGAGGCGCAGCTTTGCTCTGTTACAGAAATCGTGCCAAAATCAACGTTCTTATGTGTGAACTTAAGCCCTATCTGGTTTAGTTTTCGTTCAAGCGCAAGAGCTATCCGGTACAGCGTAAACATAACCTGAGTTTAATCACTATTATGCGAATCAAAAGCGATAGGCCTTGACAAGATCTCCGCTAGACTTCTTCGTGACTGCGCTGAACTTATCGCCTCTTCTGTTTGTTGTATTTTCAATCGTTCTATTACAACAGGTATTTTTCCTGAAGAATGGAAGTGTTCTAAACTCATTTCACTCTTAAAGCAAAGAGAACGCTCCGACTTTAAAAATAACTACCGTCCAATCTCTTTAATTCTTTAATTCCTGTTGTAGCGAAAGTCTTTGAGAGAGTCGTTTATGAGCAGTTCTATATATATTTCACATTTTCCCCCGCAAAATGACGTCTGAGGAACGAGCGCAGAAATTCCATGCTGATGACGCGTCACTACCCAAATCTGGGTGGTGCTTCTGATTGGATAAAGCAAATTTCCTCCGCGGTACGACCAATCAGAACCATTACCCAGATGTGGGTAGTGACTCGTCATTAGTATGGAATTTCTCTGCACGTTTCTCAGACGTCATTTGGCGGGGAAACCAGTGGTGGCGTCGCCAAATGTCGGCTGTTTTTTCAGTCTATTTCGCTATTTGTCACAAGGAATTTATATCAGTTTCAGTGCTTTTTTACATACCGTACGAATTTCTATTCGTTATTCGTCAACATTATCAAAACAAGAATATAGCCAAACATGAACAAGCATGTTTTACATTTCCAATCTTTATGTGCAGTTGGGCAAACTCCCGCGAAGCGGCCATTTAACCCTTAAATCTCAGTTTGGCCACATCGTAAGCGGCCAGCCCCAGTAACCGTCTTCTTTTTCCCGTCCCGAGGGTGTTCGTTTACGAGATATGGCTTGCACTGTATTTTGAAATCATTTCTGCGAAATTGATCCATGGAGTTCTTCTCTGTCCTGTCATTTGTATTAACTCATGGTTTGACCGTTGATACGCAATTCTTTCAGGTCAAGATCAATGTTCTCTCGGCACCCATGACTGCAATCCCAATGCTTATTGTCATAAAACCCACCTTGCCTACAACTGCGAGTGCAAACCGGGATATGACGGAGACGGAGTCATCTGTGCAAGTAAATTTTACAATTGTCTATAACTTTATATGCTATACATAGGGTTTCACCATTTAACTTAAGTCCAAGCTCCCTTACCTCTTCACGATCCAAGGGAGAACAACATCAATTTTCTTCGAACAATTTCGATACGCAATCGAGAAAAAAGGTTATGAGGATTTATAAATGATCAACTCGGGTAATAGGTAATCTCTTAAAAGCCTCTCGAAGGGAGAGGAGGGAGTTGCCAATTCAAAAGTGCAGAAGCAACCCTTGGTAATTCATTTATTTCATCAGTGGTATTGCTGAAAAAAAAGCTTAAACTGGGAAACATATAGCAGACGGATTAGATAAACATCACAACAATAATGTTCTCTTATGTCATTTCTGATTTTTTAGCAATAGACGAATGCGCTACAAACACACACAACTGCCACAGAGATGCTATTTGCAAGGATCTCACTCCCTTATTTACCTGCACCTGTAAACTGGGATACCAAGGAGATGGAAAAAACTGCACAGGTAAATATCACTTTTATTTCGCTACTTTGTTTTATCTGCGAAATAAAGACCTTAAGATCGAGGTTTGGCCACCTAACCGAAAACGGCATGCCGCGATCTGCGGTTAGCGGTTTTATGTTACCCAATCTGTCCATATTTAAGGCTGTAGAATCGCGGGTGTTAGCTCGCGGCTGCCATGTCTAGTTTCATTCAATCACTTCTATTCTTTTAGCTGAGAAATCGTCTTTAAATGACGTTTCTACGAAAAAGACTCGATAATTGATAAGCCGGAAAGAGTACAATAGTCTTTCCTCTCAAATGTGGAGTTGTTCGTAAAGACGCTGCTTACTGTACATTTATCTGTTGCAAGTTTTGTGCATTTACGTAACGTGTTGAAGTTCATTTGAATTTGTTCTATTTTTCTGGTACCGTTTTTCATTTTTGGCGATAAGGGGTCATTAATGAATAATTTACAGCTTACAGCTGTTCTTCTGTGTCATTTTATTCTTGGTTTGCAACCACGTGAGAAGGCGGCCATGTTGGGAGTCAATACAATCAAATTTTTTCTAGAATAATTTGCATGAGAATAGAGTCTAGTTCCCAGGGAAGAAAAATGCCGTTGTTCTTGACCGCCGACATAGGCACTGTGACGTCACGTTCGAACCAGCCATAGGCTGATTAAGCAACAGGACGGGAACGTCATTTGACGACGGGGAAGCGCGCAGAAAGGACTAAACAAGACTTCCGGTGCCCAATTTGCCGCTCTGCCATTGGTCAAGCCAGGTGTTTAATTTGCGCGCGCCGTCGTCAACTGACGTTCCCGTTCTGTTGCTAAATCAGCCTAATATAGCAGAGAGTCTCTTCTAGGTATCAACGAGTGCTCTCTCAACACCCACAACTGCAGCAAAAATGCTATTTGTACGGATTTAACTCCCTATTTTACCTGTCATTGTAAACCTGGATATAGAGGAAACGGATTCAAATGCACAGGTAAATACATATGATATTTGTTGTGCCATTTTTTTGTTTTAACGGCGCGCTTACATAGGTCCTTTCATGGAAAATGAACACGTCTTTGCCCATCTGTACGGACAATTGCACCTTGAGTGCGCACAAAGTATTAAACCCGAGTTTTGCTCATTATTAGTGTTTCAGTCTGTTTTTTTACTTTGCCAAGGACTTGTGAAAATTATTTAGCACCAGAACAAATTAACGAACAGTGTACAGGTCAATTATTTATAACCGAGGTGTACAAAAGCAAAACTTAGAAAATTACCCAACGACAGCTAGAATCGCCAACATTGGCGGATCAAGTGGGTTTAAGGTGTTGGTCCATACCCCACCCTGGAGCACACCCATTAGGTCGTCGATTGTGGTTTAGGAATTATAGCGGAGCTCCACGCACGCGCGAGCGGAGCTCCATTACTAAGAAAACTTGTTTATGATGTAGCGTACGTCCGCCCGAACGTACGTCCACTACATGCAAACCGATGTTATGCTACAAAAGGATTACACATGAAGGTCATGTTGTAGCCAAAAAAAGAAATTTGCGTGATATTTTGCTTCTTTTTAGCGTTACTAACCTTCGCAGGGTAAAAAAACACAGATCTGTCCCAGCTAGCGGATAGTAGAATAACTGAGGCTATCATTTAACCATCAAGTAGCACTGTTAAGCTACAGGCAAACAGACGCAACAACTCCCAACATTTTTGGCCCAACAATGAAGGGAGCATGTTGCGTCCGTTACCACGTACCTAAGCGTTTGACCGGTTTCAAACTTTAATTTGTGCAACTACTCCCAACAACACGCAACAACATGCAAACGCACGCAACATGTAACATCCAACAATGTCGGGAGTTGTTGACCAACAATGTTGTGTCCGTTTACACAGGGCTTTATTTCTAATGCAAAAACGATGTATTTCAGATATCGACGAATGCCGAGAGGGTCTGCATAACTGCACAGATAAAGAGGAGTGTATAAACACCGAGGGTACATACCACTGCAAATGCTATATGACGGACAGTGATGGTCAATGTCTTGGTAATTAGATTTTTCTTTTGATAATATTGGGACAAATAATTTCATAAATTTGTACGTTTTATTCCAATGATACTTTTGGGTTTAGCCGGGTCAAGCGCAACTGTTTCAAACAAGAATATACATATGTCGCAGCTTTTCAGAAGAGGTTTTTATGCATAGAAAAAAAAGCTGAAGAGTTTTGATTGACTGTAGATTTTGGGGGAGGGCAGGGGGTGGGAGCCCGGGTGATTATGGAATGGGGGTACGGGAGGTGGACCGGAGAGAACAGGGCGAGATTTGGGAGTTCTAATGTATGTGAAGCGGTAGAAATAGAGGGAAATTACGCAACAATGCGTAATACACGAGTTTGCAATCAAAAAAGGTCCCAAGGGAGGAAACCAAGAAAATATCGGCCGGAGCCGGGAACGTAATGTTCGGAAAGTGGGAGGTTTGGAACCCCCCTAAGTCCGCTCCCCTGGTTGCTTTCTGACGTGTGGCATTAATTTGTTTGTTGCATTTCAGAATGTGCATTGCCGCTTGGGCTAGAAAGAAGGGACAGTATACTCCACGTAAATGGGCCCTTGCAAGATAGTCGTATGACAGCATCATCTGAAGAGGATAATTATCCTGCTCATTCAGGACGCCTAAATGAAGCAGCATCTGCCTGGTGTCCCAAAATATCCGCTCTTCAAGATCCTGTACTTGCCAAATCACAGTACCTTCAAATAGACCTCATCACCCTGAAAAGAATTCATGGGATCACGATGCAAGGCCTTGAGCCAAAAAGTGTTGTGAAAATGTATCAAGTATATTATGCTGTGGATCCTAGCTCCTTTCGCATCTTCCGCAACAAACAAACTCATGAAAGTTTTGTGAGTATTCCGCTCCAGGGGGTATTCCTGGGAATTTTGAGTGGGGGTATGCCGCCCGGTTCTCCAAATCCTCGGCCTATTTCAGACCAAAAACTATCATTTCCACACCCGTTTTCAGGCCTGGCCTCTAGCTAAAATCCACATAGGCGTTTTCAGACCTGGCGTAGGCGGAAAGTATGTTATAATTACCACTGTCATTACTAAGATTAGAAACCCAACAAAAAGCCATTACTCTTTCTTTCTTTATCATTGTCTTCATTTGGAATTGAAATGACAAATACTTATTCTCTCGAAAACCATACCCGAATTCAGACCAAAATAGGCAAAGTCTATACCCGTTTTGAGACCAAAACGGCAAAAAAACCATACCCTTTGGGGCGGTACATACCTATAAGATAAATATAAAGGAGGACCCCTCGGGATTTGGCTCTTCTTTTATACGAGCCCATAATGTTTTCCTTAATTTAACACGTTTTAATTAAACAAAATTACTAGCTGATGATGCGAGTATGACCTTATGGATAAACTTCTAGTGGGCTTAACCTCTGGTGAGAGGAGATCTTGGCATTTTAAAAATGACCAGTAGGGAAATCTTGCAAATATTCATGTCACGCTTTGTATTCCTTCCAAACTTAATTTTCTCAAGAAACTTTTCGGGCATTATTTCTTTAATTACATTGCGTTTATAACAGTGGGGATAAGTTCTTCGTTTAATTTCATTTCCGCAGTTTATCAATTTATGTTTTTTTGGAGGGAGTAGAGTACAGGAGCACACTCCTGTTAGAGTAGTATTCTTGTTTTTGAAGCACGCGACAAAGGCGGCCATGTTAATTGACAAAATGATGGCCTGTTCCAGATTTTCAGATAGTGGTGCGCTTCCTCCATTCTGCTTTTTGCGCCCGGGCCCCGGTCTTTGCGTCGTCCCCACCACCAGAATGCCTAGAGCAGATAAGCATGAAACAAGAACGCTCTTACAGCGGATGTTAGTCTCGCTTGCTTGGAGATTAGGTCAAGAAATGAGGAGGCGATTAATTCTACACGAAACAGGATTTACTCGCTAAAGGTTTTTTACTCCCTACTTCTGGATATTTGGGTTTTACTCACACGTAATTATGCCAGCAAGGACTGTTTCTTAGTTTCAAGAAATAGCAGGCAACACCACCACAACCCATGGCAAGGGCAATCTTCACTAGCATCAAAATTAGCAACAACAACTCGCCGCCAACACTGTTCACAAACATCTCTTGTTTATGTTTCCTAACTGCCTACCACCGCCGCCATAATATCATTGTTTCACTATTACTTGTCTTTTGTTTCCACAAGGCGTCATCACTCTTTGATGCTAGCAATTTTTGAACTAATACTGTAATAAACTGAAATATTATATTTATTTTTGCCTCCTTTTATAAGTCGATTAATTCGATTGATTGAATATGCTGAAAAGTATCCTATTTTTGTTCTAGAAAGAAACATATCTATTTAATGGAATGTTGTCATATCTCTTCAGCTGTTTTATGGCATTGTACACGATCTTCCGAGTATTCCATCTAGCAGCTGGCTTTTCGATGAATGGGCCATTGTTGCTCGCTACATACGTTTAAACCCTCAAAAGTGGGCTGAGAATCAGTGCATGAGAGTTGAGCTTTATGGATGTGAAGGTAAATGAAGTTCTTCCTTTTCCCTTTCGGGCTTCACTGATCCCCTTCCATTCTTACGCACCTGCCACACAGTCTAGTATTCTTTGATTGTGAGTTGTTGACTGTTTACATTGCCATATGTTTCCGTCCGATCATAGAGAATTTGCGCTTAGCGTTACGGGCGGCCTTCTTAGTTTCAAATTTACCGAGTGGGGGAAGTGTCGGTGTTTTTAGCGGTTAGGGGAGGGAAGCCTCCTCCAAAACCGTACCCTTTCCCTATGTAGATTTCATACTCTACCCAAGGCTAGACCAGAAGCCAAGGCTCAATGAGACTCGCTACATTTGAGATCATGTTGGCCGCCTGCCGACGATCTTGGAGAAAAGTATGGGACTGTAAATTAACGGTCTAGTGAGTTCTATTTGACGATGCATAACGTAGATAAGCGGAGAATTTCTCATGGTTAGTGCTTTGTTTAAAAATTTACTTGGAACCAATAGCTTTAACATCTTTATGGCTAACAAGGGTGCATCCCTCCACTCATTCCGTTTTCAATGCTGTTGTATTGTTGAACAGGGGGCCTTAAGCAGTAATGAATTAAACAAGGTATCTTTGATCACTTGATGAGGAAGGGAAGGATTATCTTGTGACGTTATTAACTGAAACCTGTCGAGGGAATATATATGCAGCAAGCGCGCCTGGCGTTGATTTTAAAGACTCTTTTGTCCTATTATCCATCAAATTTAGATTGCATAGACTTGAACTGATACACGTCCAGGCGTTTGCTATTAAAAAAACTAACATTTGCTCGTGTGAGGTTACATACGTATAGGAGTTCTTTAAAGCGCTTCTAAATCTTTGCTAGGTGGATATTGTTTGCGTCTCGCACCAACAAAGAGTTTCTATTTATATTTCTTGACACTTAGCGGAGTGCACTTTCCCGCTTGGAATGCAGACCGGCGGTATAAAGAACAACCAGCTTGAAGTATCAAGTGAAGCCCAAGGATACGAAAAAGACCACTCCCGTCTTCAGGGGCTGGGATGGTGTGCTTTAACGTCATCTGTCATAATGGCTCCGGGAAAAGTGCCTTACCACTACTTACAGATTGATTTGCTGGTTCCACATTTCATTCGCGGAGTGGGTACTCAGGGAAAGCGAACATTAGTTGATCAGCCTGAAGCAGTCACTTCATTTTACTTATTGTACAGTTTCATTGGGGATGAGTGGTTCCGTTATCACATGGTACGTGTAAATTTCACGAACAGTTACTCTGCATGCCCCAAGGAAGAATAAGGCACCAATAGTGGATTACCCTTTCTTCCTCTGCACCAAGTTACCTTGGTATATTTTACTTACACCTGTTTGGTATAATCTGACGCGATGTACTGCTCTGATGACCACGCTTACTCATAAAAATGTATACCCTATCAGCTGTTTAAGACAAAGCGCCCTGAAAACCTTACCCTGCTAAAC